TTTCTCCGATAAGTAAATAAACACCACGTAAGCAGAGTAGATAGCTCCTTATCGAATACAACCTCTTGTATACCTCGCGATTGCTCCCCGGAGCGCAGCCCCTTACAAAGGTTGCTACTACGCTGTTTTAATAGTTTATTAGCTATTACTTAAACGTTAAGCTTTATAGGCGCAAATCCTTATATAGACTCTTTGAGAATACGCTTAACTATAGCCTTCTCTTTTAGCTTATATAGACGCTTTAATTCTAGCTTATAGTCGCGTTAAGGGCGCTTTCTAGCGCGTTAATTAGATAGAGTTCTTTATAAGATGTTATAGATAGTAGTAGTATAGTTTATACTTTAAATATATTGTAACTAGACGTTAAAAAGAGTAAGTTGAAGGTTAGATTTAGAATATATTAATATATAGTTGTATTATTAAGACATTACGCGTTATAGTGATGAAGTTAATAGGCTAGTAAGGCGTTAGCGACTTACTTGGGTTAGCGACTTACTTGTGAACCACGTTATCTTCAACTTTATCTATATTATACTTATAGTTTTCAAGATTTATATTATTAGTACCTAGGTGCTAAGCTATATTTAAACTAGTAGAGCTACTTATAAGTATAAGATTCTTATAGTTTAATATAATAGAACTTATATTTACTGATTTAATAGAGTATTTATACTTTAAGTCTATAGTAATTATTCATTTCTAGAGTATTTATAGGTCTCTAACTAAGTCCTCTATAAAAGAGTATTTTTCTATTCTTTCTAAGATATTAGCACTAACGTAGTTCACAAGCGAGTCGCTCACCCAAGCGAGTCGCTCACGCCCCACCAGCGCGTCGACGTTGAGACGTTATCACGCACTTTTATCACAGTTAATAAACTATTACAATATACTAAATTAATTATTAGAATCGCTGCTATCACTTGCACTATCTATATCAACTGCGCAGGTACGAGCGTTATGTCCAGTCTGCTTACAACGCCCGCACCGCCTCTCTCCTCGCACCCTCTTCGACGCACTCTCACCGTCGCCACGACTACTACCCGCCTGTTCAGCTAATACTTCTTGTACCTCGCCTACAGTAAGAGTCTCTTCTGTCCGTACGTATCGCCGCTTGCGGCTTTTACGCTTGTTTGATTCGTCTAGAGCCTCTTAAAGGGTGGTTATTTTCTCTGTCAAAAGTACCATCTTATGTGCCATCTGCTAAGCCCCCTTACTCAACTGCGCGATCTGCTTAGTAAGTGAATTAGCAGAAGACCTACGGCGCTTTCTCACGCTTTGTTAAATAAGACTAGTTTGAGCCTCAACTTCGCGCGCGTTACGTGGTGTCTGCGCCTCCCAGGCGGCTACCCATCGCGGTGATTGATGTGGTGTCTGCACCACTACATCAAGCTTTAATAGCACAGCCTGTGGGTCGTGTGGGACTAAACCAGCGCCTCTAAAGCTAGCTTAGATATTCTCCTTCGTAATAGACTGCTTAAAAGCAGCCTTAAAGGCTGGCAGGAAGGTCTCCTTACTGATATAGCTGGTGCGGTTGCGTGCCAAGCCTGAGATCGAGTCGCCATACTTGCGCTTCAACGGCGAGAAGCAGGCGACATCAAGGGGCTGCAATAGGTGAGACGAGTGCGCAGGCATGTAGAGAAGAATGATATTCTTCTCCTTGCAAAGATCTTGAAAATCGACGGAGCAGTGGCTCTCATGGCCGTTGATAATGAGCAGTTGATACCCACCCACAGTCTGCCTCTTTGTATAGGTATCAAAGTGCTCTAACCACGCAAGAGCAAGCTGATTATTCGTCTAGCTATTAGGACTAACTTTAAGAACCTAGTTAGTAGGCAGGTCTTTAAACTAGACGTTGATAAGCACCTTGCCCGCAAAGATAACGAAGGGGGGTAGCTAGCAACCTGACGCGCCCACGCCTTGGATCACAGTAACCCACTCACGGTTACCTAGCTAGATCTACTTCTTTTTGCTATATCCCTCTAAGCCTGTGATAACTAACTATAATAAAATCTTGCCTATTATAAAGCCAGTTTCGTTAAAGTTGTAGATATTATTGTTTATAATACCCTACTTCTGCTTTGTCGCCTAAACTAAGTCAAACCAGCGCTAGATAGCCGCTAGGTCCTTGCAGGTAGCTCGCTAGTAATTATAGGGACGGCTCTAGCGCGTGCGGAGCTTAGGAGTCCTCTTAACAAAGTTATTAATCTAGTTCTTGCTAACAGGGTTGCTCCCACGCTTATATAGCAGTTTATTAGCTATTGCTTAAACGTTAGGCTTTATAGGCGCAAATCCTCGCGCAGACTCCTTAAGAATACGCTTAACTATAGCCTCCTCTTCTAGCTTATTTAGGCGCTTCAAATTCGCTTCGCAGTCGCGTCGAGAGCGCTTTCTAGCGCGTTAGTTAGATAGGGTTCTTTAAGGCACGTTATAGATAGAGGCAGCACGTCTTTAGCTTTAAACACGTTGCAATTAGATATTAAAAAGAGTAAGCTAAAGATCTAATTTAGGATAGGCTAATAAATGTTAACGTTGTTGAGACATGACGTGTTGCAGTCTCGACGTCGACGCGCTGGTGGGGCGTGAGCGACTCGCTTGGGTGAGCGACTCGCTTGTGAACTACGTTAATCTGAAATACACTATTCCTATATTAAAATCACTTATGAAACCTGGAATGTATCAATCTCTTCCGACAACTCATACAATGAAGACAATGTCTTAACTCTTTTACTCATAGTGTGATATTGATTGTTCCTATAAATAGATATACATATCACACACATCACTCGCAAAATACAACCTATAATTCACCACTGCTAGTTAACCAGCAAAGTTGCATTACAATGGATTTTATTTGCACATGCCCTCAGTGCCAAACTAGGCCTTTCTGCTTGCTTGATCCACCCCCCCCCCCCTAATCATCTTTTTTCCACTTCCACAAACCTAACCGCTACAAGTGTAAATTCGTCTTCTGCAATCTGCTCTCCATCAACCACACAGAAGACGACTCGAAGAAGAAAGAAAAAAAAAGAACCCCCGTGATGCCCACATCATCTGGACAAACTGCAGAGAGAAAGCTGAATCTTGTGTAGGTTGCGCCGCCGAGCCGAGTTTATCTGGATAAGAAAAAGCCGAAGCCGCTAAATGCCAAAAAAGGGAGTCTGAGCCAACAAATATCGCCTTGCTTGCAGATCAAGGTTGTAATGCCGTACCTGTAGAATGGGAAACAAAAGAGACTGATAATGGTGATGATGGATTGCATCAGTTTGAGTGCCGGACACTAGGAAAAAGGACGCCAGAAACGCCATGCGCTGTATCGAGGGTGGATGAGCCTTTGTTGCACTCGAGTCAAAAGTCTGTACCAGTTGGTCTTTACACAGTAATGTTTTTCAGTGGTATCGTCATTGGTGTATGACATTGCGAAACAGAGCACCCGGAAGCGGAATATCTGCATCCCCAAGTCCGCGCTGTGCTGCTTTCCGCTCTCAAAAATTGGCCAATCCGTTCTTTGAATGGCGTTTGCTAAAGCGCTTCCTACCCTTGATCGAGTCAGTATCGCCTTGATCTTTGCGGAGGTGGCCATGCCGCGAGGCGGGAATGTTCACGCCGTCGAGGGCCGAATCAGCTCCCAACGTACTGGTGGGAGTGGTGTGGTTTGAGACGAGCTCGTTGAGGCCTGCGTCGCCAGGGTACGAGTTTGTCATTGTTTGGGCAAAGGCATAGTCCCGCGCTTGTTCGATGCTGTCGAGCCACTCCTGGCTGGAGTATTTGCTGCCTTCGGGGTCGCTTGTGGTGCTTTTCGAGTCTTCAAACACGTACTGCTTGTCTCGCTGTGGCATGTTAGCGCGAGTCATGGGTGCAATTGCTTCGACGTACTGTTTCTACGAGCCATGCAGTGAGGCCCTTGGAGTCCTGGAACGATCTCCACGCACAGCCTGCCGAGAGCAGGGACACTTCTTCTTTCAGCTTCTTGTCGTTTGTGCCTGCTGCGCACATCAGCACGCGTGCGTTGGATGTTATCATGACGAGTCGCTGCCGCTTCTTGACAGTGTTGCCGCCAAAGAAGCGCGAAAACTTCTTGGGTGGCTCTGGGTTGTCGTCCTTTCCGCCCACGACGTGGCCGGCAGGATGCTGCGTGACAAACATGTTGCCGAGCTTCAATATTCGCTCGTCCCGCTTGGTGAGGACCGGCGACCAGTCAATGTCGAGCTGGGAGGGGGGCGGCAACTCGGTAATGAGCCGTGGCTTCGGTCGTGCCTGGGGCTGGCTGGGCGCCGTTGCTGCGACCGTAGAGGGACCTGTAAGGGTGTTACTTACTTCCCTGTCTTGCCACGAGGGAGCGGATGTACCATTTAGTTTGATGGGCTCTTGTGGAGGGGGACTGTAAGCTTTTAGGCGCGGGGCCTTTTGCTTCCACAGCCCTTTGCCCCACTGGATTCCATCAAAGAAGGGATGGTTCTTGATGTGCTCCATAGGCAGACGCGTCAGCGGGTCCAATACCAGCAGCCGCTCAACCAGGTCTTTTGCCAATGGGGGAAAGCCATCGGGGAATGAATATTCGAGGCCTACAATCTTCTGGAAGGTCATGTACTCGTTGGCAGCCTTGAACGGGGGTCGCCCTGCTAGCAGCTGGTAGATGATGCAGCCAAAGGCCCACAGGTCGCTCGCCTTGCATGCGTTCTTATCAGTCAGCAGTTCCGGCGACACGTACTCTGCCGTGCCAACAAACGACTGCGCGCGGTCCGACTCTACGCCCTCGAGCGGATCGCCGCTCGTAGAACCCACGCCGTTTGACCTCTTCTGGTCCAGTATCTTTGCTGTGCCAAAGTCGGTAATCTTGACGTGCATGGCGTCGTCGAGCAGCACGTTCTCGGGCTTCAAGTCTCGGTGTATCACGCCCTTGTTGTGCATGTAGTCGATTGCGTCGAGTATTTGCGCTCCGTAGAACCGTGTGCACTCGACGTCAAACGTGCCCATCTTCTTGAGGAAGCCCAGCAGCTCGCCGCCGGAGGCGAGATCGAGGACAAAGTACAGCGAGCGCTCGTCCTGGAACGTGTAGTAGAGGCGGACAATGCCGGGATGCTCTGTCAGGCGATTGAGCGTGTCTTTTTCAATGTTTACGTATTTGACCTTTTTCTCCTTGATAATGTGGCGCTTGTCCAGCACCTTGATGGCGTACTCGCGCAGCGTCTGGCGGTCTGTTGCGGCGAGGACGGTGCTGTACGAGCCCTCGCCCAGGGTGCGGCCAAAGTTGAAGTCCTTGACGCCCTTTTTCACGACTCGGGTAATTGGCCTGCCGTTCTGGTCCACGTCCTGTCTGGTGCTGACGGCGGCGCCGCGTTCCTTCCACTCCTCGCTGCTCGACAGCGGCCCGCCCTCGGTGCTGTAGGGCGAGCTCGATAGCTGGGTGCCGTCCATGGGGATGCGCCGCGAGCTTCTCCGCGGCGGCAGAGGGCCGTTCATGCCCGCCATCTGTGCCGACTGGCGGTACGGGTCTCGCCTGCTGGCCTCTCGCGTGGGCATGGCGCCCGGGGCGACTCGCGAGCTGGCGGTGCGGCGGATGTCTGTTGCCATTGCCTCGTCGTTGTACCGGTAGGTGCCCGGGGCCGTGGTCGACGACGTCGAGAGGTTGGGGTGCTGGTACATGCTTGTCGACAAGGGGCGCTCCCGCATGGGCTGGGTCGGGGGCACGGCGCTGCGCTGCTGCTGGAGCAGCGGGGCGGCGGCGTACGAGGGGTAGGCGGCCTGGTGCTGGGCAAAGGGCATTGACTGGCGGTGCGAGAGGCGCGGCGAGTACGACGAGGCCGACGAGGTGTCAGCTAGGGGGGAGGGGAAGCCGGCTGGGGAGCCTGAGGGCGAGGAGCCATATGCATTTGGGGCGACGGCGAGCGAGTCGGCGGCAGGGGCGGCGGGGGGGTGGTCGTCGGGCGAGGCGTAGGCGTGGGCGGGGTCCTGGGGCGGTGGTTGTGGTTGTGGTGGTGGTGGTGGCCTCTCGGTGAGGGCACTCGACGACGAGGCGCGCGACGGCGATGCTGATGATGACGCGGATTGCGGCGGCGGAGCATCTGCGTTGGGGGCATCGGCGTCGTCGTCGTCGTGGAGCTGGTGGTGCAGCTGCGGTTGCTGCTGGTGAGGCGGCGGCGGCGGAGGAGCGTCGTCGTCCTCGTCCGGGTTGGCGATGCGCAGGCCGCCGAGCGTCTGCGACAGGCTCAAGTCGCCATTCATCGTGGCAGCCACTGGGCAGCACTGGCGGTAAACGAGCGAAGGGTTGCAGGTAGCGAAGGCACCACCCGCGGCGCGTCAAAGTAGCCTCGATTAGCGTGCGGGATACGAGCGTGCAACGGAGGCATGGCAGGGGCCCCAGAGGCCAGTGGATGGGGGCAAAGGAGACTAATGCCGGGAGGTGAAGATAATGGCGCTGCCCGTGATGCTCGAGACGCTCGGTGATGCCATGTCTCGGCAAATGGCTGACGGGCCCTCCCTCCCTCTCCACCACCACCAAGACGACATGCCACCACCACCACCACCTCCACTGCGCCCTCGCCCTCCGCCGCTGTGCCTATTTACGGCCACGACGCTGCCTGCGCGGCCAGCTTCTTGTTTGCTTCTTTCTGCTGCTGCGCCATGTGTGCGTGCATCTGCTGCTGCGCCCCCACGGGCGAGGCCACTATCAGGGCCATCCATGAGCCCCCAGGCCCGGCGGAAGGCACTGCTCAACCCATCGCCATGAACACAATTCCACGCCGGGGGAGCGTCTCTGGAGCTGCCCAAATCGACGGGAAACGACAATGGCTGGCGGTAGCTGTGCACCATGTCGCTGCATGGTAGCGTCCCCGACAGGTGCATCTTGGTACACGACCTTTGGACCCTAGCATATCCCTTTACCAGACCCCTCCGGCGGCGGCACACTGCTGGCCCCGACGCGGTACGGCATGCTGCGTCTACGACCCTCCGAACTTACTCTGACGCCCGACGATGTCGACGAGACGTTTCGTCGCATAGCGCTTCGGCAGACGTCAGGAGCACGCCAACACTGGACCATGCAGCCTCGCGGACACGCCGGCCGCCCGATTCTGCGACGCGGCCCGCAGAGGGCCGTCCAGGACGCCGTCACGGTTCTCGGAAACATACCTATACTGCAGCCCCAGCAAGCCGCCTTGACCTCGGTGGACGACGCCGGTCACGTGTCCGACGCGGAGCTGGCCCAGTCTACCGTCGACGACACCACTTCCACAGCCCTGACGCCCTCACCGCGCGCGAGAAATGGCGGATTAGTAGCCCCGCCAGCCTCTCCAGCCTCCCCGAAACCCGGAACCATACAGCTTCCATGGCGCCCCAGACCAGACCGTCAGGAGCTGGACATGCGCGTCACTTCGGACGAACAGGCCGAGGATGCGTCTCATACGCCTCGGAACCAGACGACTGAACTCGCCATATTGGATTCATTCAGAGCCGTCGATTTGGAGCAATCTACCCAGTCGTCTATGCAAAGTACACCTGGACTGCGAGGCGGGGGGGATGCACCCGGTGCGCATACACGTGATATTACGCAGAACACTGCCCATTCGCCCTCACTCTCGCACCAGACAAGAAGACTCGGTTCACCCGCTCAGCAAGCGCCTTTGAGCGACCCCACCAAATCATCAAGCAGCTCCACTGGCCAACCCACGCTGTACTTGAGGGGCTATGTTGCTCGCACACCAGGTGGAGCGCAGTATCGTTTCCGCGAGCGCCTGCCACACAGCGAGCCACGGCGCAGTAGCAGTCGTCAGACAGCTGTTGCGCGGAGTCTGTCATCTGGAGCTGCACCGGCCGGCGCCACACGTCCAAGCCAGTCACCTGATGCAGCATCTGACGATGTCTTTGGGACGTCAGAGGCCCCACGCGCAAGCCGTCGAGACTCGTACAACGTGTTCAACCCGGATCATTGTGTCTCTGCCGTGTCCAACTTGTCTAGCACGTTGGGAGGCTCGCAGCAGGCAGGCCAAGCCGGCACGAGGCCGAGACAGTCGAGCAGCGAGGCTACCAATGCCAGCGCGGTGTACTCGTGGTATGGGTCACTTCCGTCCGAGACTCGGTTTCCAAGTAGTGAGCATTCTGCGCAAAACGAAGCGTGTTCGCATGCGCCTCGCTCGGATGGCTCCACGTACTCTTACGTAGTTGGATGCAGCCCACATGGACTTTCTCCTCTTCCATCGATGCCGTATACACGTATCCATAATGAGCCCGCATCTTCACCGCCGGCAGCTAGCTACGTGGGGGGTGTTTCAGAAGGCTATGTTGAGGCGGCTATTGCTGCTGCGAATGAGCTGCAGTCGCCTCTTGACCCGTATGCCGAGCACTATCAACGGCAGCTTGAGGCCCAGCATGCCCAGCCTTACTTTGGCGCGTATGCGCATCCTTCTGTATCGAGCGTTGGAGGGGCACAGGCGCGGCGGCCTAGCCATGGCCAGGGCATTCGGCCTGATAACGCTGCCGTGTTTCGTCAGGCTCCGCAGCGCCCTTCGGAGCATCCGGCATACTCTGCCACGTATAGCTCGCACGCATATGCCAGGATGGAGCAACGGTCGAGTGAAAACGCTCCCGTCGTGGGGCGATTCGAGGGCGATGGAGCTCGACCTGGGCAAGTGCAGATGCAGAGAGCAGCGTATGAAGGCATGCAGAATGCTGGGCGCACCACGTACTACAGCAACACGAGACGCGGGGTGGCGACGGGGCCGTCCCGTCACAGTGCACCACAGTCGAGCAGGCCATACGACGTGTCGAACCGAGGTGGTGAGTATGCCATGTCTGATGGGAGGGCGAGCACGGGGCTGGAGCATCATGACCATGGCTCTAGCACGGCACTTGGGCGGCCCCAGCCACGTCAGGCAGCGCACGCACCACCACGTGTCTACGGCACTGCACGGGGAGGGCTGGGGCTGCACCCGGCGCGCGACAGTCCCGTGACGGGCGTGGCGTTTGCGCAGGGCAGCGGCATGACGAGTAGACGGGGCGGCGAGTCTGGGTTTGTGCGGGCTAGTAGTACGAGAGCGAGTGTGAGTGTGCGGACACGTAGGCGGGTGCCGCGGGCGCAGCGGGAGCAGGAGAATGACGACGAGGCGGGGGTGATGCGGCGGGAGGAGGGCAGTGTGCGGGCTCGGCATGGCGAGGAAGCGCAGCGGGCCATGTTGATGAATGAGACGCCGCCTCGGGTTGGACGAGTGGAGAGGCGCATGTTGTAGTTTTGTATTGTCTTGTATAACTAACATGGATATGAAGATGGAGTAGACATGGTAGTTGGGAATGGAGCGTTCAAGTGTAATGTGGTTGACATTGTGTTTTTGAAATGTATTGATTCATATTAATTCACGATTGTTGTTTGGTTGCTCTTTCAAACAGAGATTATAGCACGTGGATATGAAATTGCATATTGGTATGTAGATGGGCTAAACGTTGGAAGTAGTGAATGCATGTGATTGAACAAAGAATACTATTTTGAATTTTGAATATTCTACGTACTACTCGTAAAAAAAAGAGCCTGTGGAAATAAAACACCATTCAAATGTCTCCTTGATGAGCATTGTTCATCAACTACACCTACAGAAATGCCATGTCCCAGGTCTCCAGTCGTCATGGTGGTGGTTGTTTGCAAAAGCCGTGCCGAGGAAACGCATCATTACGTCATCACAGGGATTCATCTCAGATGACGAGTTTCCTTAAGTACATCGCCAGACTAACTGAAAACGGCAGTCAAGCTTCCCATGTCACGTTTTTTTCTTTCTTTCTTTCTTTCTTTCTTCTCCCATGTGACTCAGCGTGTTGTGCAGGAATGGGAACAGCTAAGCACTTTTGTTGCTTGCTCTTTTTTCCGCAATTGCAAAAAAAAAAGAAGATAGAATGCATGAAGTCACTGTACATGTAATATGCTTCTAGACCAGGAGTCCCGTATGTCCATTTGCGGTAATGAGTCGAGGGGCGAGGAAAATGAAGAGGCGGGCAGATGTGTGCATGTGTGCATGTGCTATCAGGTTGTTATCGTGGGGCGATAAGCTAGGCCTAGGCACACGGGAGGTGCCAGTGCGGGAGTGGAAAGTGCCATGAGAATCAGCGGATGGGTGCAGATGGAAGGCTGGATTGTTGCAATTGCAATGTACACGGTGGCGTGCATGAGAGAGGGCTGCAGAAAGGCGTTAGACTGCGGACGGGGGAGGCGAGGTCTGAGTCATGCGAACATGAACACGTCGAAGACGAGGCGGGGGAAAGCAGGCCAGCCAGCAACGCGTGAAGCACGCACCGAGTGAAGCACAGCGTGGGAGGAGAGAGGTACACAGGTTCCTGCAGGCGTGCATGCATGGTACACCTACAGGTGGCTCTTTGGAATGGGGTGTGCTTGTGGCATGGGGAATGCGAGTCTTTGGGCGTGCATGGCTCCTGCATAGATTAGTCGAGAGCTAGCAGAGTTCGAGAAGGCAGGCTTTGGTGGAACAAAGTCTCGGTGGGCGTTGCCAAGCGGGCGAGGCGGTGCCTGGATTGGATTGGGCAGGAACGGCAGCCTATGGGGAGCGAGTGGCGGGGACTGGATGAAACGTCGTGGTGCCAGTGCCAGCGCAGCCAACCAGCAGCCAACCAGCAGCCAACCCCCAACCACCAACCACCAACAGCCATGCGGGGACAATCAAGTCGGTCAGGCAGGTCCGGCAGCGCGAGGAAAACAAAGGGCCCCAGGCCAGAGAATGAATGCCACGCTGGGCGAGCATGTGGCCGTGGCCCAGGGCTGAAACGCGTGGGTGCGTAGTGCAAGCGCTCGAGGGAGAGACGAGGCAACGTGGTGGGCAGCAGCCAACCCGACGGCCAGACTCGCGTCGGACAGAGGGCAGGCCGAAGTCGTGGGTTGCCATATTTGGGTGACGGCAGCGCTTGGCCGTGGTGGTGGGCGGCTCGCACCTACCCGGCGAGGCCTCGATATAGCAGTGGCAGTGGCAGTGGCAGCGGCAGCAGGCGCGCGGGGGGTTTGGCGACTAGTACAGAGCCTCATCAGGCGCCCTGGCTAGGTGTAGGCATGACGGAGCCTAATCTACTAGCAGCAATGCAGTCTTACATTAACGAGGCGGGCATCTAATCATGGGGGAGGGGGGGTTGGCAATGCAGGGCTGGTAGAAGGCTCATTGGGGGCATGAGCATCCAAGCAACGCAACAAGATGCAGAGTCTCGGGTGCTTGCCAGAAGAGAGGCAGAAGCAGCGGCGGGCCCTCATTGGCTGCAGGCCCTGAGGCGGTGCAGCGGCTGTCGAGGGCAAGAGCCCCCCCTGGGCGGCGCGTGATTGGCTCCAGCCACGACTGGGCACGACGCCGACTGCAAGGGCGATAAACTATCTTGTGTGTGTGTGTGTGTGTGTGTGTGAATGTGTATAGCAGAGCATCGCCAGTGTCGGCGTCATCATCTTGCAACGCGGTCGAGTGTTTGCAGCACGCACGAGCCAATGGAGCGGCCATGGGACAGGGCGTGGCAGACGTCGTCGCATGACAAGCTTTGGGGATGGGCCGCCGTGGACACGCTGTCATGCGACGACGACGACGACGACGACGCCGACGACGGGGCAGCCAGATGGCAGAAACACTCTGATCGGCGCCCGGCCTTGGCGCCGTCCTGGGCCCTCTGCACCCCCCCCCCGTCCATGGCCGCCCGTGGTTATGCCTTTTTTCTTTTTGCGCGGCCACCATCCAGTATTGTCCGGCCTGGCCCTCTCTCTCTCTCGTAGTACTAGCAGGAGTAGTATAGTCGCGGTGCCAGTAGCAGTAGCAGTAGCAGTAGCAGTAGCAGTAGTATGCAGCCCATTTGCATTCGAAATGGCGCTCCCCTCCCCCCTGCGTGCCAGGCCAGCATGATACGTGCTACTACTCCCCTCTGGCCGTGCGTGGCGGCGGATGCTTTTTTCACGCCCCCCCCCCCATGCAGGCAGAGTCGTGGAGCCCATCGCTTTGCTTTCCCTGGGCTGCCGAGTGCGTCACGACCAGTATGTATGGAGGCGTACGGCCGCTGCTACTGCGTGCAACTGCGTGGTCGCCTGCCATTCATCCACCACCGCCATTCCGGGTCCACTCCCAAGCCTCACCGCCTCCAGCAACCCACGGGCGGCCAACGTGACCCAGGCCAGCTGCCAGCAGACGCCTCTAGTCCGCCCGCCCGGCTGCCCATAGCACCACGCATACATATCATCCTGCCCGTCTGCCCGCCCAACGCTCGACCTCCTCGGTGGCTTTGCCTGCAGCGCCATCCACGCCCATCCAATCCACCCACCCATCCATCCATCCATCCATCCATCCATCCATCCATCCATCCATCCATCGCCAACACGCCGCTGCACAACTCCCCATACCCCAACACCTCTCAAACATCGTCGTCCGCCTTCGAAACGCCTCGCGCTGCACCCCTTGATTGGCTCTCGCGCCCCCTCGCCTCCAGCGCCCTGCCCTGCCCGCAAACCATTGGCTTGCACTTGAAACACTGCTATTCCTGGGCTCCTGCGACTCACCACTCGCAATCTACCGCCCCCCGCCCAAATCGGCCATACAGCCGCTGACAAGACGAGCCCGTGGCGCGCTATCGTCCTGTTGCGCCGCCGTACCCGCTATCCATTGGCTGCCACGCACAGCCGCCGAACCATCCTCCCGCAGCATTCCCTCGCTCAACCAAGCTTCCCACACGTACCCGCTCCTCAAGGGGGCCTGCCATTCATAAGTATCACCCATCTCGGCCCTCGATACTTTCACCTCCGCCCCTTTGCACCGTCAATTCCAAGACTTGTTCACTTCTTCCGCCCTTTTTCTTTTCTTTTGATACATCGCCCTCACTCCCTGCCATCCTAGCGGTGCAGGTGCCCTTTTTTTTTCCCCCACTCCGGCAGTGTCCTTCGCCCCTCCATCACCACCATCCATATCCGACTTTCCA